CACTATTGTTGTATTTCGTAATTTTTAAGTGTATATCTTAATATAGCTTTCGTTTCGTACGGTTCACAAAAAAGGTGAGACTCGGCCCGAGATAAAAACTGGTGTCAAGTCACACTCGAAGTGTTTTATTTGAAATTTACTTCAACTAAATAAAGGGGGAAAGAAATTCACTTAAGTAGCAGTTTTATTCACACTATTATTTGTATTTCGTAATTTTTAAGTGTATATCTTGATATATTTCTTCTTTCGCACGTTTCACAAAAAAACGCGAGACTCGGCCTGAGATAAAAACTGGTGTCGAGTCACACTCGACATAGGAGTGCAAAGGGTCAAATGTAAGAAGAACGCTAAAGAATCGTAATATTCGTAATTTTTCATTCAGAATATTAACAGTCCTTCCGTTGGTTAAAACGAAAGCAACAGTATCGTATAAGCGTTATTTACAAATAATATAATATGTATTAATGTATTATACGTATTAATATATAATATTCTACGTAAATAATATGAATATGTAGCTGCACCGGAGTAAACAGAAGATTCCAATAGAAAAAAACTCACAGTATCACGCCAACGTTGTTTTGGTTCGCTAGGCTTCAAGGTAAACAAACTCCGAGCAAAACATCGTCGCAGTTACTTGTAATCGTACACCGGAGATACGTTTATAGTTTCTGTAACACCACCGATCGACGCGAATAGACGAATGTGCGCTCTCTAGGACGATCATTGTAACGACTTTGTAAAGTCGACTAGCGAGCGTAGAGTCGAACACATTGAACGAGCGACGATTACGACCGACATATACTATCTCTGTACAGGTATTTAAAATGATTTTAATATACTCTGACTATTACGATTTTATCATTCGTGTGTTTAATAATATATCATCGGAAATATTTCTGTATTAACTTTAATATTCGATATTTTACTATGCGAGTTGTTTCAAACATAACAAAATTCTAACTTTGAAATTACACGGACGAAGAACCTTATTCATTGGGCGTCGCTCGAAAGAGGCGAGCTGATGTTTTGTCAATGGAGGTAAATTAAACGATCGCAAAATTGCCGTGCCGTTAACACTATGAGAATCGCGGAGTGGGAGGGGTAGTAGGTTGCTTGTAAATGCGTCGATCCGTCATGTTATCGTTACTTCCGTTTACGCTTCATTAATTTTAATTAATTTCTATAGCCGTTCGTTCGGCGACCGTCGATGATTCATTTCGACCGGGCTATTATCCCGTGTTTTTAACGGATCTGTCGTAAATGAACTTTCGCGAATTTGCGCGGCGAATTAAAGCGGGGGGATGCGTGCCCTGCGTGTCGAAAAACCCCATTTACATTTGGTGGACCGCGTAATTTATCGACGAGAGTAAAGATTACATAAACCGGTGGAAAAATAATATTTAGTCGAGGTGCATGAATTTTTGGTAATTTCGCCAGAAAAAAATAAATGATTATTTACGCATTACTATAGAATATTCGTGTAAAGATAGAAAATTTACAAAGGAAAATTTCCCTTATTTCTACGGTGGCTGTATATCCCAAGAAGAAATACTCGACGTCACAGAAAACAACCATAATAAATCAAAAAATCATAAATCTATATTTCCTTTTAATAATACGATCTTTAAAAGACCACGAATATATTCGCTTCTAAAATATTCCACGCACAACTTCCTCCTTTCAAATAAACAACAAAGAAGACAAAGCCAATGAATTATTAAATTCTAAATCTCCATCGATTACCTGTTTTCGATGCGTCCCATTGCGTGAATCAACGCAGCAATCGTGTTCTATACAGCATCACCACATGCAAGATGATTTCGCGAATATGTCGGTCACTCGTCACACGCGGTAAAAAATAAACTGTCGCATATTCTACAAGCGAACGAACTGTGCGCGCGTTTCGGTAATAGATAACACTGCGACCGTTACCCTTTCTCTCTCCCTCTCCCTCCCTCTCTCTCTCTCTTTTTCTCTCTGTGGTGCAAGGCAGTATTTCTCAAGGGCGCGTGCCACCGGGCTAAGTTACGAGGCGTTTATGAGCCATAAGCGATTCCACGGGGTAGATAGAGTTACTTAGACGAGTTATTTCACTACTTTCGTGTGGATGGCGCGAGTAGGACGGGCTAAGTTGACGCGTCTTACGGCAGCCCGGCTCGGCCGGATCAGAAGGACCGCCTGCGACTGCCTGATTTACTATGGTGGACCCAACGTGCCATGGACCCGCTCTACCCCGACTGCTATGATGGGATTTTCTGACGGGGGTAAAAGGGGGACTGGTTAGAATAGAAGGGTAGGGGTTGCCGGGGTGGGGCTTACGAAATTGTGCCGGAACCGAGATCGAAGCTTGTGTGTTTTACGTGTCACCACGAGCCAACTCTTCCACCGGATATCTACGTAGCTTTTATTTTCTTCTATTTTCGTTTATGTTTATTTTTGTCCGTACACGACTTTTCCGTGGCCCTAAAGGTACTCGGGTATATTTTACTGCATAGAGTACGTAAACTTTAGCTACGAAAGTTTAGATTTAAGACAAGAAGAACACATTTGAGAGACATTTATTTTAAATAGATGTAGGTTCCGTAGAATCGCAGTTACTATTTTCAAAATTCTTCCTCGGAGATTCTTTCAGATCGAAAGAATTATTTTGACAGACGAACGTGTAAAACGTTCATCGTGTAGTAGGTTCGTAATGACGGGAACGCGAATCCTTCTCCCATATTTCCCTCGCATAGTTACACGTTGGCCGTGCGCTTTCATTCTTACTTAGCGGCGACGAAAAAAAACCAGAAGCGCGACATTCCTGCATTACGTTATCCGACGCATCGAGTTGCCTTTTTTTTTCCCTCGCTCGCCGCTTACCTAGAACCGTTTGCCCTCGTCTAGAACGCCGGATTCGGGCCCCACGAACGGCTCATTAAAACTGTTCCTTTTCCGAGAAAACATTTTTTTTCATTTTTATCAGATGTTCAAACAGGACGATCGGTAGATGGAAGAGTTCTGTTAACCATCTGATAATTAAGTATCTAAGAAGAAATCAATTTTATTTTTGACTTTTACAACGTACTCTTTCTTTATTGAGATATGTATAATTTTATGTCCTAGACTAGGTTAGGTTAGCTGCGTTAGTAGTGATACTTCGATGTGAATATCAGCGCGTGCAAGTATGTGTGCGCGCGGTGTCTCGAAAACGAACGAACGTAAACTGATAGGTTAAGTCGGATATGGAAGAAAATGGCGAGATGCGCGCAAATGTGTATCGATGAATATCTTTGCAATCGCTTATCTAATAAATATATAACTATCGTAATATGAATTCTAAGTGTAAATTTAGTGTTCCTATACTATTATTTCGGCAATTAAGATGCCAAATTGTCAACATTCTTATAAATTTCATACGTATGATATTAAACAAGAGGTGGATTCGTAACGCAGAGAAGGCGAATCTTTACCATTTATATTATCATATAAAAAAGATTCAACAGAAATTTAATCACAAGGCTCACGCCATTTCGTAATATCAGCCGCGGCAAAAATTTCAATAACTTTCGCACGCGGAAACGCCCCTCCGCTGTCTTTAATTTCAATTTGTAATTCCATCGTTGGCTACCGAATTACGTGAATTCTTCGAGTCAATATCGTGACCATGGCTGGCAGGGGCGAGCGCATATTAGAATATTTAATGAGCCGAAATTTATCGTCCTGCCGGAGCACCTAGTACTTTTCACTATTTCCCAAAGTATTAGGGCGGAGTTTGGGCCTAGAACGGTACGCCTCGCAACCCTCCTCTAAATAGATTATGGTCGCACGCTCGCTGCCTGCCACTATGGAATCCGACGACAATAGCCCCCAGGGTGCAACCCTACGAAACCTCGTAAGCATGCGAGCACAAGGTAATTTTCCTTTTTTTCCTATTCCTGCGCACGCACAGTCTTTTCACGGGCCGATGGATTCCTTTGCTTAAATTAATAGCATTTATATGCCAACGGTGCATCTTGTAACGTCCCGACGCCTCTATTCCGACGCTGACATATGCGCTACCACGATATTCACAAAGGGTTGAAAACCATTCGAAAGGGTTAACTTTTAATTGTTCGGACGGTTGGATTTCTCGCAATAATTTAAACGTTATATAATGGAAATTCAATGGATGGAAAATTTCAAGGGCAAACAGAGAAGATGCCACTCGACGATCTTTTCTTTCCAGCGAATTTCAGTTTAGTCGAATAGAAAGTCGAAAATGATGATTTATCTTCCAAACGAAATATACAGGGTGGTTAGTGGTACAAACGGAAAGGGGGTGATTCTAGGCGAAAAAAGAGGTCGAAAATGTAGAATAAACATTTTCCGTTCGAGGCTTTGTTTTCGAGAAAATCCACTTTGAATTTTCGCTCGGTATGCCTGCACGTTGTCTCGATGGAAAAATTAAAAAAAAAATTAAAAAAAAATATTTTTGTACCACCAGTTACCAACCACCCTGTATATTGGACGATGTTGAGCGATGTTTGCGTTTTGTCGATAGTACTGGACCGGTGGTTGATTTTCAACACGGATACGCTTATCGTGGACAAAGCGCACTCGACGTCGAGACAGTTCGAACGATAAGAAGGAAACTGGAAGCCGGCGAGGTTAATTATTATTCAACTAAGTAAGATCGCGATAAGAACGAACCGACTAGCCCTAGCCGGTTTCGAGCATCGGCATGCGAATTAAGCAATCATAGACAGCGCGGTGAACGCGCCATTCGTCACTCACTGTCAACCGAAGTTTCGTCGTGAGCAGCATCGTTTGCCAGTTCTGTTAGAATTTTATGTAAAACGTTGTAGCCACGTAGCGGTTGCATAATTGCGATTTAGCACGCGCTGACTCGAAACGCAATTGCGATCTTTTTATTCTTATCGTCGTAGGTTGATTAAGTTGGGAAAAAAGATTTAATTAACTCGTCAGTATCAAAGGCAGCCGAATTAAACTTTCGGCTGGTTATCTTTTAACGGTCGCGGCGGCTCCTCTTTTCGTGTCCGGCCTAAGATGCAGAACGAATCTCTTGTGGATCGCTCGCGTGTCGAGAGATGCAAAATCCACGATGCTGAATATGCTTCCCACAGTTAAATCGCTCCCTAAATCCCGTAATTTTCGAATTGGTATTATCGGATCGATAGAAGCCCGTTACGAGCAACCGGTCATCAACTGCGATAGAAGCGAAACGGGATGAAGACGTTGAGTCCGGTTCTCTTCACGCTTCTCACGACCGTTTCGCATTCTTAAAAAACACAGCTGCAGGCATCAGGTTTCAGATTACTCGGCTAGGTAATTTTTTGCGACTAATTTTTTCATCGTTCCTTTGGATATCTCGCATTAATTGCAAGGATGTCCTTTGGGTTTTGCTTGCGCACGATTAGAACGGAATAAAATCGAAAACGAGGAATATTTCGTCACTTGCAACAGGAATTCTGGAAAACGAGAACGAGGAAGAAATAGACGTACGTTGAAACATGTTCGAAAAATTCCAAGTACGCGCTCTTGCAGAATGTCAATTATCGTTTCTGACAAGAATTCAAGAGAATCAGTACAAAGAAGAAGAACAGCGATGCAGGAAATTATTCAAAAAATACCAACTATTGGACTGGCAACTATGTAATTGCGGATTTTGTCATTGGGTGGTAATGACAAAA